AGCTTTCGGGTGTTTTTTGCTCAGGGCTTTGGCGTTATGGTTTTTTGGGGGTTTTGAGTTTGTCTGGGTGTAGGGTTTCTGGTGTCTGGGGATTTCTGGGATTTTGGTCCTGGTGCTTTGAGGGTGTGTAGGTATTAGGGCTTCAGGCTGTTCTTGGTAGTTTGCTAAATTAGGATCCCTTTTTGGATCCCAAATATAGCACGGCACTCTTCTGAAATGGAACCTAAAAGGGGACCCTAATTTAGACAACTACCCTCTAGTGTTCAATTATTTTCAGAGACTTAAGGTCTGTTGGTGAGCCTCGAGAGGTGTTTAAGACTTGTGGGCTGGGGATGGGGATATCGGATCATGTAGGGGCCTTAATAAATAGAATTGGGCTCTAGGGTATATCAGTCATACTATAATAAGTATAATGATAAAGAGCCCCCAAAATGGTATAGGTAATTATTAGTAAAAGCCCCCCTATATATTACTTGGCATAAGAAGCACTCACCAGTGAAAGGTCACTCAGAGTCACAAACTGCAGCCGCAGGTGATGGCAGTTTGGTCATGGACGCGGGAACCACAAGAGTTCCTTCCGCTGAACTAAACCTGACGGTCAAAAAGTCAAAGGGTAATGTAGGGGCCTTAACAGTTAGAATAGGGGTTGGGGGGGGTATATCATACCATAATTATTATTATAAGGAACCCCAACATAGTATAAGCATTTATTTTGGCCCCTATACTAGCCACGGCTGCCCGCACAAGCCTAGGAAAGCTCCCACTCTGGCCTGTTTTAGTGGTGACGCTGATGATGTCAGCATTGCCTCCGCAATTCGAGTACAGAGAGCGGCACACCTTGGCAATCGAGCAGAAGGCAATGGTGATGATGGCCAGGATAGCAATCTCACAGCCGAGATGCACATTGCTTGAGTTACGCAGCCACGAAGACTATGTCTAGTCTCTTTTCCTTCGTCACTCCTTCGGCTGCTGCAAGCGAGCGTTCGTGCGTGTGCTCACCGCTGCTTGTGGTATAAGATGCCGTATATCTATATTACATACACCGCGGAAAAGCTTAAACACAGAAGACGAATGCATCTTTGTAGGCAGGGACAGAAGTCAGACAAGACTGGAGTAGCTCTCTCGTCACTCGGCCAAGATGACACACACACACACACATCAAATCCGTGTATCCAAAGCAGATGGCCACACACTCCGTATGCGAAGACCGCAAGTAATCATGGACACACCTGGACACTCAAGTACAAACAGCTAGAGAGCAAACTTTGCATAGGATCAGAAGCACAAACTGCAACGAGGGCTGAACCGTGAGTCATCACGATAACAACGATGCGTGTTGCGAGATTACTCTAGGGGCCTTAATAATTAGAATAGGGTTTTGGGGTTCCTTATTATGATTATGGTATAATATACCCTCAAACCCTATTCTAATTAGTAAGGCCCCTATGTTAGTCTTCATTCCCGCTTCTGAAAAGCTTGAAGTGATGTGTAGTCGTTCTGGCTATGGCAATGTGGGGGGGTTTCCTCAAATAGGGAACCCTAATATAGCACCCTAAATAGTAGGATCCTTATTATAAGGACCCTAAGACAAGGTACCCCTTAATTTCGGAAACTCCCATGTTCTAACTTATGCTACCTTCCGATCCCAACAGCCGCAACCCCAAGCCTCCCAAACCCCTCACCCAACACCGAGAGTTTTAAGGGTTTAGGCGGTCTAGGAGCCTACGGGTTCGGGTTTAGGGTTTAGGGTTTAGGGTTTAGGGTTTAGGGTTTAGGGTTTAGGGTTTAGGGTTTAGGGTTTATGGCAGGAAATCCTACTCTTGAACTGAAGGGAAGCCGTGCCGCGGCCAAGCTGACGAGGCCACCGGTGGAACTGGGCCCATGGCAGCCGACAGTGAAGGGCGCCTGCTTCAAGGTACTGCAAGGCCAGTAATCTGTTCCCCTAAACCCTACTAAACCCTACTAGACAATACTAAACCCTACTAAACCATGCTAAACCATACTACACCCTGATCTTACGCATGAGGTTCCTTTCCGGGTTCTTCAAGGGCCCCATTAAGTCTATGACAAAGGCTCTTGAGCGGCTTCTGAAATTCTTGAAGAGCTCGTAGGGATTATAGGGGTTAGGGTTTCTAGTCTTTGGCCTTCGGGCGTAGGTCTCATAAGGTCTCAGTGTTTGAGGCTTGCAAGGTTTGTTCATGTATGAGGCTTATAAGGCTAAACCCTAAACCCTAAACCCTAAACCCTAAACCCTGAACCCTAACCCTAAACCCTAAACCCTAAACCCTATTCCTAAACCCTAAACCCTAACCCTAAACCCTGTAGATCTCAGGATTCGGAAGTCACGGCGTGCAAAAAGGCATTCGAGAGCCTATGAACTTGAAGGTGGCCTTACCCTAAAGGCTGTAAGCCTGTACCTAAAGGACGAAATGAGACCTAAAAGGGCTGAAGGTTCATATACCATATAGGGGTTCCTAGTATAACCCTAAGGGTCCATGTACCCAAATAGTAGAACATTGGCCGTAATGTAGTTTGTATATGGGTACTTTAGGCCCAATGTTCTACTATTCGGGTACATGGACCCTTAGGGTTACCTAACTGATGTAGGGCCATAAAAAATACTGTGACTACTAAGAATAGCGGCATGTTAGGTGATTGCTGGTGCCCGCATGTTGCACTGTAACTGTATCACTGCTTCTATATTACGTGGCCCTTGCGGCTGAAAGGGGTTTGCTAGGGGACGTTAGCTTCGCGACTTGAGGGATGTAGAGTTCACCCATAGGCCCCATAGTAGTTCCTTTTTTGGGATTACCTTGTAGGATTCTAAATATGAACCCCCAAAAGGAACTACTATGGGGCCTATGGGCAGGCACCAGGGCTTGAAAGGAGGAAGAGTCATCGAAGGATGTCGTTCCCGTGTTCCATGTAGCAAGCAAGGCTAAGGGAGAAAACGTGGATGTGTACGTACCTATCTATGTATGTGTATCTGTATGAGCATATACAAATATAAATATAAATATAAATATAAATATAAACAAATAATATAAAATATAAATATAAATATATATATATATATATATGTACACCCACACACACGAGCAGTGCCATTATCACCACAGTTGATGGACTCTTCTCCTCCGCGTGGTGTGACGTGGTTCGGTCGGCTGGGGTCCTTTCCGGGATCATATCAGTACATACACACACACAGTCAGAGTCACACACAGGTGTATATGTATATGTCATGAAAAATATAAAAAATGTGTACACACCAAGACTGCAAACTGTTGACTCATGCCACATCCGGCGATTGGCGGGTATCTCCTGGCTTCCGGGGCATGCCCACCCCGATAGCTAGGGGTTAGGATTAGAGAGACCCTTGGGGATATGCATAGACCCACTTAATAAGGGCCCGTTTAAGAGAGCCATACGCAGCGTTAAGGACCTTTTAGGGGGTCTCCCTAACACTACCTAGGAATCAGGGATCCAGGTCTCAGGGCATGCGTTCTTCTCCCATGCACCTGGTCTTGCGCATGATAGTGGTACACCGGCGTCGAGCTCTCCTTCATTACAGCAAAGAAGATTCCGATAGTTGAGGCCATCCTATCGAAGTCGGGACATAGAGCAGAAATGTGCTTCGGTTCCTCTAGTTCCATGCTGTTCGGGTCGGAGGATACCAACTATTGCAAACTTCTGGCTTCTGCCTTTGCCATCCAAACAACAATACTGCACAAACCCCATGCAGAAACTGCAGACTTAGGTGTGGTTGCCTCTGACGCAAGAACTGTTTTTCGGATTGCGATGAGTTCGGCCGACAAACCTTGTGAACGTCGTGCTTGACAAACTTGAAAGCCTGCAGCCGAAGTTCTCACAGAAATTACAAGAACAACCCTTAAGGCAATGATCCAAAAGCTTGCAATCCCCATCCCTATGGGGACGTAGCACAGGCAAGCTACATACACACACGCTCTTGCAGTCGCTTTCACTCTCCCTCTCTGTCTCTCTCGCCCTCCTCTGCAATCTCTTACTTCCTCGCTTAAGTGTTGTAGACCAGTCCAGATGAGCGCAGAGCAAACTTCACTCTTGGATGTTCGTGTGGCAGGTTTGTTATGCCCAACTGCTGAGGCACCTCAGAGCCAGTCTTGAATCGGACTGGAAACTTCATACACACTAAACTGCTTCTTGCTGACATCCTAACTTGCGCCGTTTTCCCCGATCACCTACACCAATGGAAAACACCCAAAGTCCCAGCCAGGAGTAGAAGCACCTTGGCCACTGGGCATCCGCCCCTGTGGGTCACCCTACTGCCCTACTGGTAATCGTCGTCGTCATCGTCATCCTCAGCAGAATTCAATTTCTCTTCTTCACCATCATGGGTCATCATCAGAAACTTCATCATCATCACCACCACCATCATCATGATCATCACCGTCATCAACAACAACCTCATCATTGATTCATAATACACACAGGCGTTTAAGCAAAGTCCACATCACCTCACGCGTCATCAACAGTGTCACACCTACCGCATTGCTAGTATCATCCCAATCATGCCATGTTTACCACCACCTTCTTCTTCTTCTTCAGCAGCAGCATCGGCACAAGAAGCCAGCAGACAGCAGCTGCAGCAGCAGCTGTTGCTGCTGCTGCCGCTGGTCCTGCATCGTCACGCCAATCTGCTTTACCGCAACCATCATCGTGTCAGCATCATCATCTTCGTCATCGTCAGCATCACTCTAGAATTATCATCGTCATCGTCGTCATCCTCCTCCTCCTCATCCTCATCCTCATCCTCATCATCATCAACATCTTAATCATCAGCATCATCATAATCTCAATATGATTCATCATCATCTTCGCCGTCATCATCACCAGCCGAAGCGGTCACGCTCTGTGAGCGTGTGTTGTGAGCGCGAGCTTGTGAGCCTGTGTCTGTATGTCTCTGTGCTTGCTTTTGCCTACGTCGTCTTCTTCTGCTCTCTGTCTGCACCGCATCATCTGTCCGGCGTTGGCCCGATGTGAGCCCCGCAAGCATCCAGCAGTGGCAGCAGGTTGTTGTCAAAGTCCTCCGGATACGGTAACTTCAAACTTTGTAGGGCCGTAAGGTGGATGGTGGACATCTATGAAACTGAGGGGGCACGGGACTGGCTTTATTCAGGTGGGGCAGCAAATTTTGATCCCGAGGAGGACGGGCCAATGCCGACGACACCACGAATGTGCATGTTCCCAGCTTTTGTGCCTTTTAACATTCAACTTGTTCAGCTATCTATGGATTGCCACAGAAAGCGAGTTACGTGGATGCCGGGCATGGCTGCCAAGCTTGCACCTGCCCGGTTCAGTATCGGATCATTGAAACACTCAACATCTTGATACGTGGGGGTTTCCGAAAATAGGGACCTAAATATAATACTCTAAATAATAGGATCCTTATTATAAGGACCCCAAAATAAGGTACCCAAATTTTCGGAAAGTCCCACATCAGCTCAGCTCTGAGCCTAGCGAAGAGCCTGTTGAGTCCGGGGCTCTACTAGCATGAACGGCCTAAACCCCAAACCCAAGTGAGCCAGGTCGCTCCTAAGATATGATCTACTTGTTAGTTAGCGCTCTTATGACTAATCTCCCCGTAGTATCTCCCCATGGCAAAGACCGAAACATACCTGTGAACGTATGCCCCTGCAACCTGACTCTTTCACAATCCTGAGACTCAAACTCTAAATCCTGAGTCGTGAACGCTCAAGGTTCAAGGCTTCGAAAGTGTTGACAGGATCTCGGGGTTAGCAGTTCTAGAGTTACTGTAAGCCTTGCCAGTGCAGCCTTTAAGGGGAAGCTTGGGATAGCTATGTGTGGACGTTGGTTAGGGAGGCCTTTTCCCGGTGGTTGCAAGTAGAGCTACAGTCACCCCACTTCTTTCTGGAAGCTTGCAATTCTAGAGGTTCCCGAACCTCACCGCAGGCCATGGATCTTCCTCACTTAGGGGGCCTTGATACTTTAGGGGCCTTAATAATTAGAATAGGGTTTTGGGGACCATGATACTATAATTATAATAAGGAGCCCCTAAAAATAGTATATTCTTTTCATTTAGGCTACTTAGTTAGGAGGCTTTGATAGCCTTCGAACCTGGGGCCCTGAAGTCCTCAGCACCGTTTAACCCCCTGAGCCTCATGAGCTCTCCTGGACACAACCCGAGGGTTAAAACCTCACAAGCCTTGACGCACCATAAGGTTTAAGGTTTAGGGTTTGGGGTTTAGGGTTTAGGGTTTAAGGTTTAGGGTTTAAGGTTTAGGGTTTAAGGTTTAGGGCTTAAGGTTTAGGGTTTAAGGAGCTCTATACTCTCGGAAGTTTTAGGGTTTAGGGTTCAAGGAGCTCTATACTCTCGGAAGTGAGCTTTCAATGGCTGCCAAATCCTTTGAAATCGTGGCAGCGTCGAGAACCTCAAACCCAAAACCCTAAACCCTAAACCCAGGTGTCCTCCCACTTTCCGTACATGTCGTGCCCTGCGACGACGCCGACCTTCGTCGAGTGCCCGCCGGAGGCCTCGGTGATGATTGGTCAGGGTAATTTCGGGTTTCAGAGTTTCAGGTTCGGGTTTAGGAGTCGTGGCTGTTACCGGGTTGGGGAGGTCATGTAGGTGAGGATTTCGAGGGCCGTGCTCACGGGAAAGGTATCTGTCTTGACATGGCTTGAACTGTGGAAGCAAACAAATCTATCAACCGAGGCACAGCGTATAGGCAGCTGAAGCTGCGGTGAAAGTGATAGTCGCCTTGGCAGCTGGCTTCTGCTTAACAGCTCCTGTGACTTAGTTACAAAACAAGGCAGCTTTAGTTTACTTATACCCCAAACCAAGGTACTTGTAATGATATCCTTGTAATGAAGAGGTACTGATACTTATGACCTTGCAATAAGAAGGTAACAGCAACTATAAGCTTGTAATACTAGGTCCCCTGATCCTCTAAGCGGAGCAGTGCAGGAAGCGGCTTGGCCAGAATTTGAGCAACCTGCATCTGGAAATCTGCCTCAAAAATCAGCGCCCTAGGTCTGCAGCAAGAAGGATGTCAATGTTTAGGGTTTAGGGTTCAGGGCTTTCGACAAGTACAGTAGTGTACAAGCAGAAAGTTGTTTCTATCATCGCTGTTCTTCTCGTGCTGTGTATCATTAGCAGAGCTCTTGATACATCACTGCCATTGTTCCTATGCCCAAGTCGCCTGTATGCCCTCCGCAAGGGCCCACCACGCCGAAGTACGTGTTGCCCACAGTTCGCGGGAACCTATGGTTCACAGCTTTAAGGTTTAGCGAGGATCTTGGGGGTTTTGGAGCTGTAGAATAAAATGCGTTCGCGGAGACTGTCAATCTTCACAGCCAGCAAAACGTCTGCTTAGCTCGCGATTGCAAGTGAGCAAGATGATGTGATGAGTTCTAAGTCTTGACCAGGGTTCAGAAATCGCACAGGGCAAGCTGCGAACTGGCTTCTGAGTTTCGGATCGTAGTGGTTTCGGAACAAGTGCCTAAACTATCTGCCAGAAAACTGCACCAAATCAGCAATTTCTGTCCCCGAAGGCAAGAACAAATCGCCTAACTACCTGCGGAAACAAGCCAGGAGGTGTTTTCGGATGTTCACATCGACTTCCTAAATGGGCTGGACGAATTTCGAGGATATCGAAAGTTGCGCAAAGAATAGTTTGCCAACGAAATATCCGACACGACTGCTTTCATGCATGGACACAACTATTTTGCGGCTTGAAGCTCTGAGCTGAAATTTCCGCATGATGTGAAGACTCTGTCTATATGCGAGTCAGATTCATTTGCAAAGCACCAACCCTGAATCCCAAAACCTCGTAATCCAGGAATCCTTGCTCTCAATGCCTAAACCCTAAACCCTAAACCCCAAGCGAGGAGCTCGATATCGCAGGTATACGCGACATGGCTCTCGGCAATACCAATGTCCTTGCCCCCCTCCTGTAAGCAGCAGCACATGTGAAAATAGGGCTGCTTGACTCGTCATTGTGAATCTTCAGGAGTCCAAGAGACTCTAACATCCCTTAATTAAGGAATATACCTTATAATTATAGTAGGATCCCAAATCTGATTTCAGGTATATTCCTTAATTAAGGGATATTGGAGTCTCTGGAGTCAGGCATCATGGGGTAGAGCCTGCCTCGCCAAGCTTTAGTGAGTTTGGCTCACCTTCTTCACCTTGTCGGCTACAGCTGCATGGTCGTTGGGTTGTGAGGTGTAGGTACAGCTGCGACCCTCCAAAAAAGGTCATCAGCCATCTGAAATGCAAACAGCTGCACACGCGGAACAGCGAAATGTAGGAAGCGCTGACCTACCTTTGGATGCGAATCCGAAGGACGATCTCCCCAAGCCAGTCCTAGCTGTATAGTAACTGTTAGTTAGTAGGTACTACATACCCTGAACCCGAAGTGATCACTGTCTCTTAGCGCACAAATCCCCCCGGGCCGTGTCGTAGACCAATGAGGGAGTCGTGCAGCCCCAGTTGGAGATGATATTGTCTTGCTGGCTGGTGAAGCCTGCCTGTTGCAGTTCGCAGATGCATGGCTCTTAGGGTTGGGGGTTTAGGGTTTAGGGTTTAGGGTTTAGGTTGGGGGTTTAGGGTTTTAGGAATTTGGGCTGGGGGGCTTGCTTGAAGGCTCAGAATCCAAAAATGTTTCAGTTTAGCAATCGACTGTTGGCACGGGGGTTTCGCGCCGAAGCTGAAGGTTCAGGGCCCAATGCCGGGTGAGGTAAGGTCGGCTTTAGGGCCAAGGGGGTTTCCTGTGCTTGACTTCAATGATTGAAGGCCTGCGTCTGTGCCGGCAACGCACAGCACATAAGTCAGAATGCAAGACTTCCGAACTTTTAGCCTTGCGCTGTGTGCTGACAAACTTACAATGTAAGTGCGATCTGACCGTAACTCTGTCTGCCTAGCCTGCTGCATGGTGGGTTCCAGAGGCTGGAAACTAAGTAGGTGAAGCTGGGTTGGTTCAGTTGTCGGGGACCGGGCAAGGGTTTCGAGTTGAAAGCTCACGTACAGATCTTCGCGTCTTTCACCCCCAGGCTTATCGTTATGTCCCCATCACGGAGCTGCTGCTAAAGCTAGAGCTCGTGAACAAGTCGAATAGTTCTTGTTGAAGTTCTTTTTTGCTCCAAGACACCCTAGTTAGACATTCAACCTGTGCCAAACCTTAAGAATCCTATGTAGACACTTATGAAGGCTAAGTAGACCCCTATAAACCCTAACTAAAGCGCAAATCTTAAATCCGCTTCCGAGCACCTGCTTGCAATTCAGACATTCTTCTGGTACGCGACTCTTCTCTCCGTTGAATAACTCCTGCTGCTACCCGTATACAGAGTTTTAAGGTTAAGGATCCCCACACCCATTCTCTAGGGGTCCATGTACCCAAATAGTATATACTTTGGCCTTAATGTAGTCCCTATATAGGTACTTTAGGGCCAATGTATGTACTATGTGGGTACATGGACCCTTAGGGATTGTGCCGTGAGGTTTAATTTACCTATAGTCTCCATTGTAGTTCCTTTTTGGGGGATACTTTATAGAATCTTTAATATAGAATTTGTTAAACCAAAAAATGGAACTACAATGGAGACTATAGGTATGCGTGGTGGATGCATCAGAATCGTAGGAATCTCAAGGCCGAAGTCCAAGACGAATGCAACCTCAATCCTTCGTCCCCAAGAGAGCAAACCCGGGACCCTGACCAACCCTAAACCCCCACGCCCTAAACTTGACTTTAGAAACCTTTAACCGCCCTAAAACCCCGAAGCCCTCAACTCTAAACCTCTGAACCCTAAACCCCTAAACCCTCTTTGGGGGTGGCATCCCAAACCCTGAAGCAGAGACCTCGAAAGGCCCATAGATGTGGGCATTGGCAGCAATCGTTCCCTGAATACTTCCAGGAAGTCTTCTGCTAATCGAACGGTTTAGGGTCTGGGCTTCGACTTCTTTTTCTTTTTTGGGGAGGAGAGGGCGTGGGTCGCCGGGTTTGGTGTTTTGGGGGGGTCAGAGGGTCGAAGGGCAACCCCACACTTGTACTGGAGCTGCCTGAGCTGGCGTGAATGCCAAGCCCTAAGGGTCCATGTACCCAAATAGTAGAACATTGGCCCTAAAGTATCCATATAGGGACTACATTAAGGCCAATGTTCTACTATTTGGGTACATGGACCCTTAGGGCAACCGTAGTTTCTGTCACTTACTATTACTACTTGGCTGCTTGCTGGGCCACCGTATACTGCTTGTTATACATCATGTTTCTGATGTTGGGAGCCGAGCACCACTGTACACCCTGCAATCAGTCGAACCTAGAATCAAGAAACAGCCCAGCCACTGCCTGTTCAACTTCGAACTGCAGCCCCAACACACGCCGAAGAGTGGAACGAACTGCTTCGGCGACCTGGAAATTCACACCTTTGGCTGCCTTAGGCCGGGCATCATGTATTATTCCGCCCATCCCGTGCGTATCCCTCAGGGTCCATGTACCCAAATAGTAGAACATTGGCCCTAAAGTACCCATATAGGGACTACATTAAGGCCAACGTTCTACTATTTGGGTACATGGACCCTTGGGGTATTCTCGTCCACGGAGACTCTACTTCCTGTTGCAGAAATGGCTCGGCGAACCTAGCTTCGGCTCGGATGGATCCTTCAGAAATCTGAACCTAGACCCTAAACCCTAAACCCTATATGCCCTAAACCCTGAACCTTATAAACCCTAAACCGTAAACCCTAAGCCCTGAACCCGAAAAAACCCTGAACCCTACACCCTGGATCCCCGCTCCCTCGTAGCCTCGCAGCACAAGACACACCATCCCCTAGCTCCATATAAACTGGGCTCTTGTGAAGGGGTTTAGGCTTAAGTTACCATAACAGGGATCTTAAGGGGTTTAGCTTAAGTTACCATAACAGGGATCTCTAGCAAATAATAGGGTTTCCATTTTTTAACACTTTAATTTAAATCCAATTTAAATCCCTCAACAAGAACCCAGCGAACCGTCTGTAAGGTCCAGTTGCACCAGCTGCAACCAGCTCGTGTGCCAGAGTTTCAGTTCCCGGAACAGTCGTGCATCCAACGTCGCCAAGCCTTCATATGCGGGCCTTAATAATTAGGATAGGGTTTTGAGGCCCATGATACTATACTTAAAAGAAGGAAAACCGGAAATAGTATTGGTAATTCTTAAGGCCCCCTACATTACACCACATTGAGTGTTTTTCGTGTGCTAGCGGCTGGAGGGGACACAAAAAGGTATACTCAAACCCCTGCTTGTAAGCAAAGGCCGTGAAGATAGCCGTATGGAAAAAAACGCTTGCAAGTAAAGCTTTCACTGTGCGGTACGATGTAGTGGCATTATGTAACAATGAAAACAAGGCATGAGGGGTACATTATAGCTTATTAATTTTACGGGCTACGAGGGACTACTACTACTAAGAATAAGAATAATAATGATAAGTAATCCGACCCAATGTAAAAGGCTCTGTAGCCGTTGACCTTACTAAGCCCCATGATCCTTTGAGTACACCCACAATCCGACATGATGTTGAAGGACGTACTGTCGTCCACGAGTGCAACATGCTGTGTCTTTGTGGATGGGGCCAGGACTTCTGGGTTTGGGATATGAGTTTGAGGACATCAAACCTGACTCTGAGACACTGGGGCCTGCCTCATACAGATAGACGTGTACACGCTTACATATCTACACTCTTGTCTCTGAACACGGCACATCTGTCAACAAACATAACATCTGACTCTATACATGTACATATGTGTGCGTGTGTGTGTGTGTCTATACATATGTATATATATATATATACACACACATATATATATATATATCATATAAATAACGGGTTACTTGGATCGCTTGAAGCACCCACAATGCAAGACGGATTACGAATGGTGCCAACAGCTGCCATCATGGACAACAGCCCTAGATTTGGGTATTTCTCGAAATGAGGGTCCGTTTTCGGGTCCTCTGTATAAGGGTGCCGTACTATTTTGGGGACTTTTAAAACGGACCCTAATTTAGAGAGAGAACTACCCTAGATGGCGTATCAAGCCTCAGTCGCCGCAAATGCCCCGAGCAACTACATTTTGTAGAGGGTTTTTTGTTAGAAGAGGGCTTTAGGCTCCTGTATACGATAATTAGAGCAAGGAGCCCGAAGGAATCCCTCAGGGTCCATGTACCCAAATAGTAGAACATTGGCCCTAAAGTACCCATATAGGGACTACATTAAAGCCAATGTTCTACTATTTGGGTACATGGACCCTTAGGGAATAATATTGGCAACCATGAAGGCTTCCATATTACCCGAATCAAGAATGGACTTGGCAGGGCAGGCCAAAGTCAAAGATTGCGGTTCCTCATGGCTTGCCAATTTGATCCTTAGGCCCCAGTCAATTACATGCATCCTTCTACATCAGTTCTCAAAGTGCTAAGCCTCTACACAACGCTGTGCCGAAGGAAGCAAAATGGACAAGTTTAAGACCCTAAGCATTATCTTCTCGGGCAGTGGACCCATGAAGCCCTGCAAAAAAACTTACCGCTCAACCTCTCCTGCAGCGTTGTTTCAGCAGAACTCGTGCATGGCTATAAATCTTACACATACGAGCTGTTCCTTGTCGGTCATAAACCGCAGACCTTAGACCCTACAAACCTCTGTTGCAAGCGTTCTGTCTGCATCTGAAGAACAGGGGCGCCGCACAGGGCGGGCTGCTGCAGGTGGGGTTCACGCCTTGGCCACAAGTCGCCGTGAAGGGTCTTGTGGCATGCATGCATGCATGCATGCATGCATGGATTTGCGTACGTATGTATTTGTGTACGTGCGTGCGCGTGTGTGTATGTGTATATATATATATATATAGATGTATGTATGTATGTATGTATGTATGTATGTATGTATGTATGTATGTATGTATCTATGTATGTATGTCCAAGTGTATGCGTGTGTACCTGTGTACTTATACTTGTATTTATATAGTTTATACTACCAAATATTTGTATGCATGCAAATACACAGAGACGTCCATCTACATACATGGGTTATATATATATATGTATATATATATATATATGTACAGAGAGGGAGAGTATATGTGTGTGTGTGTGTGTCTTTGGCTGCAGTCTTGACGATGACGGCGATGCTCAAAAGGTGGCATCAAACGTCGTAACAGCCGACAGGAGCTTGCATCGTCATCGGTTCTGAGACACCTGTGAGAGAATACAGTGCTTTTGGAATCCTCTCAAACACCTCTGAGCGACTTCAGGATCTATGAAGGCCGAAGCTTTGGCTCTACATTAGAAGGGGTTCAAGGGCTCGTGGAATCGGGATGGACAACTATAACACCCTTTCAATAGGGGCTCTCAAGAACAAGTGTTGGATCAGGGATTGCCCGAACAGTTTGGATCCAGGAAGGGCCTGAGTTTCGGTGAGCTCTTCGGGCTCTGCTGCGAATGGCTATTGTCTGAAATCCGTGCTGGATGCTTCATGCAAACCTGCAGTGTAGTTCCACATAACACAA